TATATATATATGTATATATGTGTGTGTGTGTGTGTGTTTTGTTATATATACATATATATATATATATATATATATTTATATGTATAGTATATTATATAGTATGGTACATAATACGTACTCAGAGCACCTATACACATTCCTAAACACGTAATCACAAATCGCCTCACAACAAACTGTCTGATTATAAATTTTACAGTACCTTAGATCACTCAATTGTTGATTGGTCTGATGCACACAATCGGCCTGCACATACGGTACTACATTGTAGACGGTTAGGTGAACCCCATAGCTATCATTGTCGCTGTGATTGACCCAGCCTACTAGCCAACCACTGTATGGAGTCTCGAAAACCGAGCCATGCGCATGGACAGCAATAGAAACCATGGCACAAAGCTATCCCTATACGATGACGTATTAGTTCACTAGTATATTATCCTGCCAAGAATAAAATAGATGGCATGTATTTCATATCTCTGTATATGTTTTAAACAACCCCAGAACCCTTCATACGCTGAAACTATGAGCATGGTACGATCAAAAAATATATAGACTACATGACCTGAGACATCGGAAAGAGTTTGTTTAGTCACAAAATCTGTGTAGAGGCTCGATGCAATACGACTGTATATATGAGAGCCTTAATATGCTAACCGTGATGCGAATTTCACTATGTAGATTTTAAGTTTCGACTATATATACCTGGAATCCCATACCAATCTATATACAGACTCACATATAGTGTATCACATATATATACGCTCTATATACATCTGGACTCCCTTACCAATCTATATACATAACCACGTACAGTGTCTGACGTATACATATTCACATACTGTTGTGTTTTAATATATATACACACCCTTATCGGATACATGCAAGTTGATCACCGGCATAATGTACAAGTTTGAATATATATCACGCATGATTCAAGGTAGGGGAATCAGGACCATTCCGTTTTCCGTTGAAACCGATGTATGTATGAAAAATTATTCAAATGTATTTTTTTAAATAAACGTTATAGATTTTGTCCTGTATATTTATTACTATTCCGTTTAGGTGCAGTACTAAGGATCTGGGCGTTGAACCATTTAATTCATGGGATGCTTTTAGGTGTATCACCTAGGTCACTTGGGTGCAGTTTTGTTCTAGCCTGATTGATACTCAAACGCGATACCGAGTCAGATCTATCCTGTCACATATAAATACGTTATATCATTTAAAATATCAAAACTTTTTACAAAGTCTGCGTTAAACGCAATTGAACCGCCGTACATATACTATGTACTGGACCGTAATCAAACCGGTTGGCGTCATCACTTTCTCTGGCCAATGAGAGCGTGTTATTCGGGAATAGGATGTGCGCTGTGGGCTGTGGTCTGTGGTCTGTGGGGTGTAAGCCTCGCCCTTTAGACTGTCGTAGTAAAACATTCTCGTACATTTTGCATAATCCGGCATCCGCATATCCATCCATACCAGATTTCTCTCCAGTATTTACATACTCCCGCTGTATATTTATATATAAATGAGACAGTAACTCATAAAGGCCAGTTCCGATAAGATTATGTCAGCGCGTCACATTATCACAAGAGTATGTTGTCGAGAAGGCAATAAGCCATGTCTGGATCTATGATTTACATGATACACTCAGATACGTATAGTCCTGCCCTTATGTGTACGTGATTAAAACTTACAATATATACTCTCTTATAATGCACATGAACGACTTTGGCAGGTGGTATGTATAT